TAGTGAGGAGAGATGAACTTTCCATACAGAAGGACTCACGAAGGAAGTACACCTGAGTGTGAAGATGTGTACTTAGAATGTCAGCACTCCAGGGGTGGAGTCAGAGGGTCAGGAGTTCAAGACCAGCCTTGGCTACATAGTGAGTTTGCAGCCAGTCTGGGCTACATGAAACTGTGCCTCAAATTAAAACAATAACAAAAAAGTATTTTAATAGCACAAATATATATATATATATATATATATACATATATATAGTATAACATAAGATTTAAGTGCCAGGCATATGAATATTTACCATAATATTCTCCAATATTGCTATGCTTGAAAATATACATAATTCAAGGAAAAAGTACTTTGGTGTAGTTGAAAGAATTCATATAATTTTTTTCCTTGTACTGAAGTTTTTCTTTTTTATTATTTACTTGTGGCATATGACTATATATGCAAAGTTCAAAAAAATCAAACTCTCACTGAGATGTTTCTCTCCTGATCATTATTGCTATTCTTTTCTCCTCTTTCTCTTTATGATCACAACTGAAAATTATTTTGCCGAGTGGGAAGGTGTTCTGTTATATGGAAAGGTGTTTAAGAGTTAAATTCTTGAGGCTGGAGGAATGGCTCATAGATGAAGAGCACATACTAAGCTGTGTTTGGTTCCCAGCACCCACCTCAGGCAGCTCACAACCACCTGTAACGATGGCGCCAGGGCATCTGATACCCTCTTCTGGCCTCCTCCAGCATCTGCATTCATGTGCACAGATACCCTGAGATACACATAAAGAAAAGTAAAATAAAGCTTTAAAAGGTACATTTCACCAGGGGCGGTGGTGGCTTACGCCTTTAATCCCAGCACTTGCGAGGCAGAGGCAGGAGTCTCCATGTGTCCACTCCAAACGTAAAGAGCACTGACCTTGAATTAACTGGAAGAACAGTCCCTTTTGTAGGCCTAGAGGGACTAGAAGAAATCTGGGGAGTCAAAAGTAGTAAGTTATCAGTGCCAGAGTCCTTGTCTTGTGTCCCTGATCTCATTCCTTCTCTATTGGGACTGTGGATGAGGAGTCTCTCTCCCCTGCCCTTTGGTGCTTTGTCATTACAGTTCTGGATCTCATCCTCAGAAATCTGGACTTTAACTGCAGAAGTGGCCGGAGGGATCTCGGGCTTCTCCGAGTAACAGCCCTGGCTACCCTGGAACTTGCTCTGAAGACTGGCCTGGAACTCAGAGATCCTCCTGCCTCTGCCTTCCTAGTGCTGCTGGGATTTAAGGCGTGTGCCACCACTACCCGGCTGGATCTTTGGCTTCATACTCAGCCTTAAATTTTGGTGATTCACCACCCTAAACCCCTCTGGTCTCTCTCCCATGCATTGCTTACCGGTGACTTCTGTCCCATTTCACTGTCCTTTAAGTTGATACCTCATTCCCAGGACATTCCCTTCCTCTAACATCCATCCTGCCTACCAGCTTTAGGTCAGGTTCCTTTGGATTCTCAGACACTGGGATTTGTCCAGAAGGAAACACTGGGGTGTGTTTTCAGGTGTTCCCACTGCATGGGAGTGGAGGAAGCACAAGGAGGCAGAAGGGGAGGCTAAATTGAAAAGCCACTGAAACACATGCAGGGCACAGGGCACAGGGCACCAGGCACTGGGCACTCTGCAGATGTCACAAATTGCTGTTACAAAAATGTAACAGCTACTGGTTACTGCCATCAAATACAGTGCATAGCTGTGGGTGAAACAATTCCCTGGAGAAGGTCTCAAATATTAGCTATGAAAATCCGTATTTTGGCTCTGAACGGATAACATACCACAGCTTCTGCCACAGTGAACTGGGTGGTTTTGTGCGTCAACTTGACACAAGCTACAGAGTCATCAGAGGAAGGAGCCTCAGCTGAGGAAATGCCTCCTTGAGATCCAGCTGTAAGGCTTTTTCTCATTGAGTGATCAATGGGGGAGGCCCAGCCCATGGTGGGTGGTGCCAACCCGGGGGGCCTGGGCCTGGGTCTGGGTTCTATAAAAAGATGGGCTGAGGAAGCCATGGGAAGCAAGCCAGTAAGTACCCCTCCATGGCCTCTATATCAGCTCCGACTTCTGGAATCCTGCCCTGTTTGAGTTCCTGTCCTGACTTCCTTCAGAGATTAACAGCAACGCTGAAGTGTAAACCTAATAATCCCTTTCTTCTCCAACTTGCTCTTTGGTCATGTGTTTCATCACAGCAATAGAAACCCAAACTAAGACACACAGCTAAGGTTGTTAGGCACATCCAGTACTGAGACCTAGCTTCGGACATGGGACTACCAAACCATCATTGAAACTGTACTCAGTACAATGGACTGCTCAGCCACTCCAGGAGTCTAGCCTTAGGTTGATGTGTGCTACAAGTTTCCTAATTTAGTTACCGGTAACAGTGAATATATATCAGTAGATGCTATGTTAGTAGCTATGCGTTTGGGGCATTGGGTGAAGAGTAAGAATTAGTTTCACTACAAAAGACTATTAGAATATCAGTGAATATATTTGACATGTCATCTTCAATGAGTCCATCTAACGGAAGTATTCATATCTCTTAAGCCAGGTCCTTGATATAAAAAGAGTAGAAGCTGCCCAGATGAGTCTAGTTATAAGTAGTTAAAAGACCAATTTAGATAAACTAGAAACAAGCTGGGTGGTGGTACACACTCGGGAGGCAGAAGCAGGCAGATATCTGTGACTTTGAGGCCAGCCTGGTCTGCATAGTGAGTTTCAGGACAGCCAGGGCTACACAGTAAGACTCTCTCTCAGGGAAGGAAGGACGGGAGGGAGGGAGGAAGGGAGAGAGGGAGGGAGGGAGAGAGGGAGAGAGAAATAAATAGTATATCTCCCAATGATGCCATAGCTATCTTAGTTTGTGTACAAACTATGACCTTTAACATGGAAGAAATATAAGATATATAACACATTTCTCATTATATATACTTTTTGTTGTTAAGCAATGCATGACTGTAGGAGTATTACCTATAAATAGGTTTTAACAATATTAGTAAGATTATAACAAAACAAATTAAGAAAGACTTTTGTTGTTGTTTGTTAGAATCTCAAGTTGAACTGAGCATTCTGAACTTTTAATATTTTCTTTTAGGTGTATGGACATTTTGCCTGCATGTATGTCTGTACACCACATGTATGCAGCACCTGAGAAAGACAGAGAGGGCCTTGTATCCTCTTTCAGACCCCTTGGGACTGGAGTTACAGACAGATGTGACCTATTGTTGGAAACTAGGAGTCCAACCTAAATTGGAAGAGCAGCCACTCCTCTTAACTGGCCAAGGCATCTCTTCAGCCCTCATCCTGCATTTTAGTTGCTTAGCATGACTATCCTGATGTCAAGGGAATTTTCAAAACATTGAAATGTAGAAAGGATTCTAGAATAGATCCCTACACCATTACACTGCTTTTTGGACAGTTATTAAAATATTTATTTATTAACTTACATGTATAATGTGCCTGCCCGAGTTTATGTACACCTATGTGTGCAAGTGTTCATGGAGTCCAGAGAGCACTGGATCCCCTGGAACTTGAGTTACAGGTGGTTGTGAGCCTCCTAATATGGATACTGGGAACCAAACCTGGGTCCTTTGCAAGGGAAGTAAGCGCTCTTAATCACTGAGTCATCTCTCCAGCCCCTGGACCATTATTATTTTTTTAGATGTATTTATTATGTATACAGTATTCTGGAATTCATGCTTACACACCAGAAGAGGGCACCAGATCTCATTACAGATGGTTGTGAGCCACCATGTGGTTGCTGGGAATTGAACTCAGGTCCTCTGGAAGAGCAGAAAGCGCTCTTAACCTCTGAGCCATCTCTCCAGCCCTGGACCATTTTTTTTTAATTAAAATGTGTTCTATCATCCCTCCTGCTTTTAGAATAAAGAACAAAAATTATGTGTTTACATAGCTTTCATGGAGTTAGGGGCCAGGTCCACATCCATGGCGTAGGTCGGCAGAGAGTAAGTTCTGAGTGTGTTTCGATGTCTGCAGAGATGCTCAGGAAGGAGTGTCAGCCAGCATCAGCTGGAGTGATCTAACTGAGAGCCAGGCTTGGTTTGGGCTTGGAAAAATCTATGCATACAAAGAAATACAGAGAAGATGAGCACGGTCTCTAGGGAGGGGCAAGTAATTAATTGTACTCAATCTGACTCTTTAAAGTCTCCTGCTTTTGACAGCACACACATTCACACACACACACACACACACACACACACACACACACACACACACACATACAGGCAAACACACACATACACCCCTTACTCCTAGTTTAATCATCAGGGCCAGAGCAGGTGTTCTCTATCAGGCTAATATAACACTAAACACTACTGCAAATAATATCACTGCAAACAATCTGCTCTTAAAGGTGTCAGCATAATAGCAGTTCAATCTTTGCTGAGTGCTTTGTTAATTAAGCTCTGGAATGTGCTGTCTTTAACACCGTTTGGGAGTCAAATTTTTTTCTTTGATTGTAAGCAGTCCTTGAGAGAATTACAATCCGAGAAGAAAAACAAAATTCTATTCAGTTGTCCAACTAGATGCAAAGGCTTATGACGTTAACAGTTATTTGAGCCCATGATTTCTGTCAAACAGCAAAATAAGTACTGCATGGTGCTATATCTCTTCTCTTGAATTATGTTAGCATAAAAATGATCTACTCCACTAAGTGACAGTAACATAAATTGTGGGGTCTTACACATTTAACAAGTACACTCTTTATTTTCTCTCAACTCAAAATGCAACTTCAGGGGCTGGAGAGATGGCTCAGCAGTTAAGAACCAGGACTACTCTTCCAGAGGACCAGAGTTCAGGTCCCAACACCCATATGCAGTGGCTAACAACCTCCCAGCTCTAAGGAGATTCTATGCTTCTGACCTCCCCATGAACTGCACTCAAGTGCATATCCCTACACATAGGCAAACACAATGCATATCATTAAAGATAATAAAGATAATTTAAAATTCAACTTCAAATACTAAGGATATAAGTTGGAACATTTTATTGAAATACAATATTGCTAGGCTTAGCAGGGAAAGGCTCTTGCTGACCACTTAGGCTAAGTCTCTAGATTCACATGGTAAAAGGAAACAACCGACCCCTGCAAGTTGTATCCACGTATAACTCATTTGGCCAAGATTATAAGCCTTTTGTCAATGCCTTGCCTGAAAAGAAAAATTCTGATTTTCTTTTGGCGGTTTTTCTTAATCTCTTTATTCTGCCCTGTCATTGTGATTATCCATTCAATTTCTTCAATGCTTAGTGTTTATCCAGCTCCAAATATTTCTAAAATGTGCGGCAACATTGTCGTAAGATAAATATAAGGAGAATCGGGGTAGTTCCTGGCTGGTGAATCCGCTGTAGCTGGTAACCTTTAGGGAAGTGGTGGTGCTGCCAGCTCTGGCCTAGAGTGGGCATCCAGCTGCCACAGAAGTCCTCTTTGACTTTCCCAGGAAAGTGGGTGTTCATGGAACCCACCTCATAAACTGCCATTGGCAGTGGGAACTTCCACCCTGGACAAGAAGCAGTGTGAGCCTGTGGCTTATGTAATTAGACACAACACAGAACACATGGTGAAGAAACACCGTGAACACGGCAACTCTTATAAACGGAAACATTTATTTGGGGAGACTCAGTTTCGGAGGTTCAGTCCGTTATCATCATGATGGGGACCATGGCGCTGTGGTGCTAGCGCTGAGAGAGTGTGGAGAGTCCTACACATCTTGCAGGCAATAGGAAGTCAACTCTGTCACACCGAGGGAAGGTTGAGAAAAGACCTCAAAGCCCACCCTCACGGTGACACACTTCCTCCACGAAGGCCACACCTCCTAATAGTGCCACGCCCTTTGGGGGACATTTTCTTTCAAACCACCACAACACCAAGCCATGTTCAGCATTGCCCTGGGATGTGCTGTTTAAAAATCACTTTTTTGTTAAAATTGTGCAGGTTATTAGTCCTCTGCTTAGAAATGTGCATGTCACCACAGATCAAGTCACTGCAGACTCTTCACTCCTTCTGCCAAGACCAGTCTCGGGTCGCTTCTGCCAGCACCACCCTCCGTCTTTGCAGACACCCTGCTCTCCTACCAACTACCGACCCCGCTTTTCTTTATCCTGTTCTTGCCTCTTTAACACTGTTTTCTAAACTCTTTTTTCTTTTTATAGAGCTGTGTCTTGCAAGTCTGTGTTTGGGCTTATTTTTCTTGGCATAATTCAAGGAACCCTAAACCATGCCAAAGCCGATCATCTTGCCACCATCAACGTGGGTTCTGAATCCAAATACAGAGATGACATGTGGCATTTTGGTTAGTTTTTTCCAGAGTACTGGCCTATGGACTGTGGTGGGCCAGGTCAAACTACTTGTTTCCTCCGAAGTCATCATCAAGTCTCTGGTCTAGATAATTACTGAAACATTCATGATAAAGGTGAATCCTTAAACAGTCAAAGAAGAAAAAACATCCTCTATTTTCTTCATCCTCGATGTTCTTTTCAACGTTTAAAACTATAGCAAACCATATATAACATAAAATGTTACAGGCACATGCAGCCATGTTCAGCTTTTATACGGGAGCCAGGGATTCAACTCCGGTCCTTACGTTTGTGCATCTAGCAGTCTTACCCACTAAAACATCTCTCTATCCCCCAAGGTGGACTTTGAGACATCTCATTAGAAACAAATTGGAGAGCATTTGCTAGGCGCTAATATATCAAGAAGATACGACATGTGTATTTGCACAGAAGAAATAAGCTCAAAATACAGGAGGTTAAACTGGGGCACACTTTAGTGGTAGGTCAAGTGAAGAAGGCAGAGTTACTGTCCCCTGGCCACATAACTCAGCCCTCCGCCCTATGCTGCCAAGACACCCTTCATTTTGACACACTGTGATCATGTGTTTATATGTTTGGCTCACCAGAGCCTCTATTCCTACTATATGCCAAGCATATAACAGGTTTTTTTTCTGTATCCCCTGTACATGTAGAACAGTTATTTTTGTAACTCACAAGCGATTGGCATCTCAGGCAGAAGGGAAGGGGCAAAAGACAGCTGGATATATTCTAGAAGTTGTGTTCCAAATGCCTTCCGTGTGTTTTCCCAGTTGAATTCACTGAAGTGTTAGCTTGGTCCTCAAACTTTACCCACTTGGCTCCTTCTCAGACGTTCTCAGTGTGTGTGGAGTTTGATTTAAATCCACATTCATTTAGCCAGACTTTCCAATATCTTGAGAAAAATCTCCTCAGACCAGCACTTGGAGACACTAGCTGCAGTGTGGCATAACCATGGGGCTCCGTGGAGATGTGTCTAGAGAGGGACATCATAGCCAGGCTGGGAGAGACTGGCATGAAATGCAAAGAATGCCAAGCTTCTGCCATCCACAGCAAGCCACCGAGACATTGGACAAGGACGTAACCTTGTCTAATCTGCATTTTATGAAGAGCATCCCTCTTTTATCATGAATGATGAGGTGGAGGCAGGCAAGGGGTGATGTCAGCAATCCATGCAATCACCGTGAAAGCCTGGATTAAGGCTATGACAAGAAAAACAGGAGAGAGCTAAGTTAGAGAACACACTTCAAAAGCAGAATTGATAGGTGTGTGGCTAATTGCATCTCAGAGTGAGAGAGGGTGAGGTGCCTTTGAAGTCTTCTTACTTTAGCAAATTGGCAGATGAGGTTGGCATTCACCTTGGTAGGGAGAAGAGAGACAGAGAGAGGGTAGGGAGCAGTCACAGGGCAAGGGTGAGGTTGAGGTACCCAGGAGAGTCCACTGGAAATTGACATGTGGGGCTCAGGAAGAGCTCTTGGCTAGATGTAAGGCGTGAGTCACTGGAATATTGGCTGGGTCAAGTCCTGGGTTTGAATGAGGCTTCTCAGTGTGCACAGGGTGAGATAGGCCGGATGTCGTAAGATATCAACAGTGGACAAGAATAATGCAGAGAGAGAAGGGGACACAAGGGAAACCACAAAGGATGCACTCAGGAAGTCAAAGAGTAAGGACAAAACTCAATATCCAATGCCACAACAAAACACAACCACAATGGGGAATGATAAGGAGAGTAGCCTTTGCATTTGAGAATTTGAATATAATTGCTAACCTTAGGAGAACAGTTTCAGTGGAGTGGTGGGCTGGGGCTGTTTGAAGAAGCTTCAAGTGAGTCAGATTCTTGTGGGTTGGATTGGACAGCCACCATCAGGAAGTGTACATAGGGAGTGCCCAGAACTCCTTCAAGGAGCTTAGCTCTGAAGGGAGGCTGTGAGCCACAGGGCAGAAACGAAAGGGGTGGAGGTCCACAGGGAAGCCATTTCTCAAAGTGGATTTATGCCAGAAAGGGGTGGGGGGACAGACAGAGAGGAAGGAGAGAGAGGCAGGAGGGAGAGAGGGAGGGAGGGAGAGAGAGAGAAGGGGGAGGGGAGGCGGAGAGGGAGAGAAGGAAAGGGAGGAGGGAGGAAGGAGGGAGAGGGAGCACTCAGAGCTCACAGGGAGCAGAACAGGTGCTATAGATGAAATAGGCCCCCAATAGTTTATTTTGGCTCCTTCACATCAATTGGTGAGTGTCCCTAAGACACAAACCTCAGGAATGATTCAGTGCACTGGGCAAAGAGCACTCTCTACATATTTCTGTAGTATGCAAGTGTGGCCGGTAGTCCTAATTTTTGTTTTGTTTTGCATTTATTTATTTAGGAGAAGGTGGGGCATGCCTGTGTGAGTCAGAGGTCCTACCAAGCACTCTTACCTGATGAGCTGCCAGCAGCCCGTAGTTAAATTTGTTAAATCATCCTCAACCACCCCCCCCTCACAGCCGATCAAAAGCAACACCGTTCCATTGTTTACAGGGAGTAAAACTAGAAGTTTATTCAAGCTTTCAGAACCTGACTCAACTCTTGGTCTCCTAGCCCTCTCCAGTCAGCCAGGCTGTTGTGACAATTGCCCACAAACCCAGTTGCTGTGCACAGCCTACCAGCTGGTTTGGACCTGCCTTCTACCTACCTCCTAGGAGCAGCGGCCACACTCCCCACTCTTTCCTGTTCCTATAACAAGGAAGTCCTTCGAAGCCCTCCCCCCCCCACATCCATGCTTGTCCTGACTACTGCCCTTTTCTTAGTGCTTGGTGCCACTGACCCTTATCCAGTGGGTGGGCAGGCAGGCAGGTCCTGGCCCCAGATCTCAGTCATCTCAACTGATGAAAATAGACTGTATACATGAGGTTCAAACATAACACTTCTTATGTCCTCCTAAGCTGTGACAATTGCACTTCTTTTATTCATTTTCCTTTGTCCATTGTCCTTTCTCTGTCCTCTCACAAAGCAGAAGCTCCATGGGGGCTCCTCTTATCCCCCACCCCCACATCTTTTCTCCTTCCCTCCCTGTGTCTAGTCCAGCGTTTGACAGAAGCTTTGGAAATATGTTTCATAAATAAAGGAATGAACAGCTCCTCCATTTTTAAAAAAACCCAGTTTGAATGCCGCTGCCACAGTGAATCCAAATAATACCTCATGTGTATTGTGCTTCCTTTCTTCTAGCCGTTAGTTGCCTCATCTAATGAGCCCCTCCGATTACCTCCCGTGACTCATAGAGGAGTTACAACCCCGGCCACACACTCCAAAGCCACTCGTCAGCTTCTTGCTTGCTTTTGTTGTTGTTGGGGGTTTTTGTTGTTGTTCTTTTCCAACGCTATGGAATGAACCAGGAGCCTTGCACATGCTAGGCTCTACCAGCTAGAGGAACACCACTGAGCTACACCCCAGCCCTTGCTTTGCTATTTATCACACACACTGCTCTTTTTGCTGCAGTGACAAGCTTAGGATTCCTCACAGCCAGCGCCAAAGCACACAGAGAGCACGCAAAGGATGCTGAGAAAGTGAGGATGCCCTGGGGTAAGTCGTCTTTATTGGAGCAAAGATAAACAGTGTGACATCAATGAAAACAGAGTGTACTCAGTAACCACTGAGAAGAAGAAAAAGCAGGGTTCCTTCAGACTGGGTTTTGTTGTGTTTTGTTTAGAGAAAAGGAGGGAGTAGGGACTGAGGAATGGAACCCTGGCTTCAGCAGTCAGAGAAGCGAAATTTTAACGAAGTGTGAAGGGAGTGTAGCCCATGTGAAACTAATCTAACTTTGTTAACTGTTGCCGGTGGTATTCAGGCTCCTACCCTCCCACAGAGGCTGGGAGATGGCTCCCTGTGGCTGAGTGTCAGCTAGAACAAACAATTCTTCCGCAGTCAGATCTGCTCAGGAATTTAGTTGGGTACTAGAACTTGTTGTAACCCATGGTAGTGTTTGTTCAGATCTTTACAGGCCAAGGTTGAGGCCTAGCTGAGACTTGAGCTCAGAGGAGCCTGATTAGGGTTTGATCAAGAAGAAAATCTCGAAATTACAAACTTCAAAGAGAAAATCACTGGCAAGCAGAGGAAACCCTCCCTGCTCTACTTGTAAACACAGGAGTCACAACAAAAGCAGGCTCATTTGAGTTTTGAGGTTTTTGACATGTACCATTCAAGCTCAGTATTTTCTAGAACTTGCTGGAGTTTTAACTTTCAGGAGACAATGATATGATCTTTCAAAAAATGTCTAAAAAACTCAAGTTATTTCACACCAAGAAGTCAAAAGAAAGGGCTCCTAGCACTGACTTTCAAAATTTGTCTGCTTTGAGTGTTGTGGTGTGCTGTGCTGAGGCCCTGTGAGCTTGACGATTTCGGGAGCTCCCAGGCAGGCTTGGGGAGCCCGGGATGCTAGTGGTGGGAGGACCAATATGTACAACGCTGCCTGAAACCCCTCACTGTGGTTCTGCAGTCTGGAAATCCTAATGCACATCTCACCTCCGCTTCATGACACTTAAGGTCTGGGGCTCAGATCAAGAGGCACACTCCCCTCATCACTGTAAAAGATGGCATCAGGGGAACCTGCTTCTATTTATAGCCCTGGGTGTGGCCCTACCCAAGGTTGGCAGTAAACCCAGGGTGGCCAACAGCTCTTACCCAGCACTCTATCCCTGAGAGCCATGAGAGTCATTCCCAAACACACCTTAGGTTCTGAGTATATATATCTAAGAGTCCTTTTCTTCTTGGGTTCCACCCTGGAGCAGAGGTGTGCAGTCCGGAGAATGTCACCCAACCTGTCTGTCTCTAATTGACAGGTAAACTGGAAGCATTAGTCCTACCCATTGTGTTTCCTTGGGGAGAGCCTCTTCTATTAGAGAGGGATTTGACTTAAATAGATCTTAAACTCCGCAGACCCAGCTGTTTGGTGCCATAGACTCTGGGAGATACTGTTTTTCACCCCCTTCTGTGGCCAGGGAGGTAACTGGATGCCGTGGTTCTAATGACACGCAGTTTCCATTCCAGCCCTTGAAGTTCCTTCTCTGATAGTTTAGCAATGATCTCTTTGGCCACCTGCCTCTTTTGCCGCTGGAGCGAGTGACTTGCCCTTCCTTCCCCTGCGGCGTCAGAGTCCCTATGAGTTAGGAAGAACTCTCACCATTTCCTGCGCTGTGGTGATGCAGCTTCTTTATTTATAGGAGCAGAACCCCTGTGGATAGGGCTCCATCAAGGTGCTGTGGTCACGGTTTGCACAAACGCCAGGCTCTCAAGAGTTCTTAAGTGTACAACATCCTGTACTGTATCTTAAGGAAGGAACCGTATTCTGGTCTTGTAGGAATGGTTTCCGTTAGAGACAAGGCCTCGTATTCACTCTGGTCTCGAGTTTGAATCATAACATCTGCAAGTGAGACCACAGCATCCCTACGGAGTGTCAGCAGATCGTTTACCAGCTGTGAAGAGACACCTAAAATACGCCACGGCTTAATTTTTTTGTTTGTTGGTTTAATAAGTCAGGACTACACACCCTGCTCTAATAAAAATTAAATAAATAAAGTTTGATCCCGCCCCAATTTCTTGGAACTGTCTGAGGGAATCGGGGAGACAAATGTGACGTGGAAGGCAGGATTTGAGCTGTAGGAATTCCGGGGCTGGCTCCGGAATCTCGGGATTAGCCCTGCAGCGGGCGCCGAGGCCCTGGGAGAGCCTACGCTGGGCTCCGACCTGAAAGACTGCCAGGGCGGAGCCTGTGCACGGAGGTGGGCGTGGTCATGAGGCGGACACCGGAGACGTGGCCTCAGAGGGCGGAGCTAGCGGCTGCTAGGCGCCGGTGGCGGGAAGGAAATGCGCCGGCTGGTGCGCCGCTCCTTCCTTCCCGCCACCGGAACTGTGGCGGCAATCTTGGCCAACTGCTTCTGCTCGGGAAGGGCTGTAAACTGCTCGGATTTTGTTTCTTTTTCCTTTCGTCCGCTCTTCCCGGAAGGTGAAATATCGAAGCGTAGATAGACGCACCTACAGGGTCCAAAAATCCACGGCCACAGGGGCGCCATTACTCTCCGGACTCATTGGTTAACGCTCTTTTTTGGGGTACGCCTGTGTGGGTGGTTATCCCCAAAGTGAAGAGTGAGTGCTCTGGGGTTGTAGCTCAGTTGGCAGAGGGCTCGCTCCCAGCGTGCAGAAAGCCCTTGCGTTCGGTCCTCAGCATTGCATAAACCAGGCGAGTCTATACATGCCCCTAATCCAAGTTTTGGAGGAGGAGGCTGGAGGCTCAGTAGTTCATGGTCGTTCTAACTACATAGCTAGATTAAGGCCAGCCTGGGCTACCCTAGACCCTATCTTTTAAGAAACTTTGGTGTTTAACTGGTTCTAAATTGTTATTTCGTGGGAAGGAGGCCTGTTTTCCCACCCTCAAGGCATAGAGTTGACAGGGTCCTGAAGCCCTGTTTGACCCTCCTAAGATTTCTGGGTGACCCTCAACCACATTAAACACCCTGAAAACTTATTTTTATGTCTCTTACAGAGCCTTGTCTCTGAAGTGACCTTCGCAGGGTTAGCGGATGCTGCAACACAGCCTCTTGATGCAGTGTGAATCCAATCCAAGGGAAGAGGAGATCCCGTCCCTCTTTTGGGGTTTGGATCCTGTGTTTCTAGCCTTTGCAAAACTCTACATCAGGGATATCCTGGAGATGAAGGAGTCCCACCAAGTGCCAGGTACGTGGCCAGTCAGTTTAATGGATGTCCTGTGCTGCCCAAAGATACAGAAAGCTGGGGCATTAGGGCATCTGAAAGAGCCTTGCTGAGTGAGGTCTGAAAGTTATCAAGCCTCAACCCAAGAAGGAGTTCATTTCTGCGCTTTTGGGGCAAGTTAAAGAACAATCTAATTTCTTAAGTTAATAAAAGTTTGAGGGTGCGACCTTTGCACTGAGGCCCCTCCCCTTCAAACCAGATGTAATCCCAACACTTGGTGGATGTTAGTAGGGATGATCAGGGGTTCAAATCCAACCCTAGGTACTAAGACCTTTTCTCAAAAAAAAAAAAAAAATGTTGGGGTGGGGAGCTTTGGTGGTGCTTTAATACTAGCAGAGGCAGAGGCAGGCTGAGCCTGGTCTACAGAGCAAGTTCCAGGACACGCTCCAAAGCTACACAGAGAAGATATATGCCAAGGTATTCCATATTTTAAAATACTCGCTCTTGAGTGGACAGATCACTGGACTAGGCAGGCTTAGACTTTGCTGTTTTACTTACCTTTCTGGGGATGTGACCCACTTTCTGCAAAGCTTGGGTGTTCTCTTCATAAAATGTAGGGGTTGGTTTTGGTTTGAGTTAATCACAGTCAAAATAATGGACACTCTTGGGAGGAAGGACATGATCTGGCTGCTCCATGTGCAGCAACAGCATCTACTTGCATTGGAGCCCTTGAGAAACACC